GGAAACCACAAAGCAATAACATTAATATCACATGCAAATAAAATTTTGTTAAAAATAATTCAAAAAAGACTAAAACAGTACACTGACAGAGAATGAGGGACATCAGATGGATCTTGACTAAAAGCAGAGATTACCATAAAGATGTTTACATGTGCTTTATTGACATGCAAAGGCTTTTAACTCTGTGGACCATGAAAATCTATGGAATTATCTTGCAAAGAATTGGTATTCCAGAATTTAATTTTTCTGATGAGGAACCTAGAGGTTCCATTTTACTTCTACCACTCACACTTGTGGCTTATTCTACCTCAATTTGAATCTGTATGGTTTTGTGACATAAACCAAGAAGTAGTTGTTCTAACAGAACATGGGATCACTGAAGGTTTAAATAATGAAAGGTGTGTGCCAAGGTTGTATTCTTTCATCATACTTATTCAACCTGTATACTAATCAAGTAATTTGAGAAGCTGTATTATATGAAGATGTGGAATCAGGATTAGAGGAATACTCATTAATAACCTGTAATATGTAGACAATCTGTACTTACTAAAGAAGCCAAGTATGATTCTCTCATACTTTGGATATATTATCAGAAAGGAACAGTCCCTGAAGAAGGACATCATGCTTAGCAAAGTGAAGGTCCCATGCAAATGAAGGAGACTCCCAAGATGGATTGGCACAGTTGTAGTAGCAGTGGGTTCAAAGATAGCAACAACTGTAAGGATGGCACAGAACTGGGCAGTGTTTCATTCTGTTGTGTATAAGGTCATTGTGAGTCAGAACCAACTTGATGACACCTAACAACAATAATATTAATATATCAAAACAGTCATAGAATGCAATATGCATTTAAGTGATCTGTCTATGGTGCAGCAGGTGAAGCAATCGGATCATACATTTTGTTTCTATTGAGTAAGTGAGATTTATGTTTGCCACTTGTCTCAGCATAATTTTTAATAACCAACATTTTTCTTTAAAAAATGTTCCAATTTGGGCCCAAAATGAAATGGGTACTACATATAACTTAAATTTTATTGTCATGAACTACATAACCAACTCCTTTGGCCATCAGAGAAAAGAACCATATGCCATGCTTCTTGTTGTTAAGTGCCATTAAGTCAGTTCTGACTTATAATGACCCTGTAAAGGCTTTCCAAGGAGCATTGGTGAGTTTTGACTGACAATCTTGTGGCTCAAACTGGCCTTTTGGTCCAGCGTATTATCCTACAGCATCACACTTGGTGTACCTTACATCACTTATATCACTAAAAAGAATCCAGTAAATGTCCTAGACAAATGATCTTTGGACTAATGTAATCTAAGTAACCTAAGATGGTACTTGATATCTTTAGTAAGTACACACCTTACAACCTTTAGAGAGAGAGAGAGAGAGAGAGAGAGAGAGAGAGAGAGAGAGTATGAAATGTTTTCATTGAATAAGAAACAAGATATTAATTTTTATTTTAGTTATGAAGGAAATTACACAATTTGTTTCAATATGTATGTGGCAGGTGTACATACACATATATTATTGATCTTACTTCTTCACCCTATTCTACAACTATTGACTTGCCATGACTTCACTATGGGTGAAATGAGTATTTCATTCCTATTCATCATGGTTTGTTCATGTTATTTGTTTTGGGAAATGGCAGATTAGCAGAAATGATAGTGTGCTATTTCTAAACCTAGGTTTTTTTCCCCTTGTGTACTGGCAATCCTGTCATGTAATGAGAACCAACTTCAAAATAGGCTATTGTATCCTTAACCTGAACCTCGGAGAGCACACATATTGAATAGTTTGGGGGGTGCTGACTAACCCTAACAGCAGCAGCCTCAAGCATAGCTTATACTAGTGCAACCAACCTCCATATCAAATCACAGACATAGAGGATTATAAATGATTCTTGTTTTAAACCACAAAGTTTTAAAGTGATTTCATATACAGAAATAGCTAACCAAATATAATATACTAAAAAGAGTTTCTAGATGGTGCAAATTGTTAGGCACTTGATTACTAGCCAAAAGATTTGCAGTTCAAACCCCAAACAACAGCACCTCAGAAAAAAAAGTTATAGCTTTGAACATCTATAGAGTACAATTTTACTTAGCACATATCAGGTAACCATGAGTAAAAGCTGCATCAGTGGAAACCAAAAATAATATATCAAATTTCTTATGTCTTTAATTGAAAATGTCTAATTGAACAATTAATTTGAACTTGAGAATTTAAATTGAAGTCATTAAATTTGAGTCACATATGGGAAATTTAGAATATCTTTAGTATTAATGCATTTTTAAGGTCAAAATATTAGATCTCTAAGAGTAAAAAATGTTAAGTAATAGAATCACTAAACAATATAATAAAATCACTAAAATTTTGAGACAGTTTAAAATAGTTCAAGAAGTTTAATTCATTAAGCTTGTACATAGAGCTAAGTCTTTTTCAGAGGAATTTGTCTTGGTTAGCTAGTTGTGCTATCAACAAAATGGTTAGAGTTGGTAACTTTAAAGAACTGACGTTTATTTTCTCACAGCTTTAGAGGATTAAAGTCCAAATAAGAGCCTCTGTTGGGTTAATTGTTTCCTTTCAGGTAGCCTTGGCCATTACTTGATTCCTTGGCTTTTAAAGCATCCTCAGATAACATCTGCTTTCCAATTCAATCCATGAAATTTCTTCAAAAGGAATTAATAAATCTATGAAAGTCAAACGTGTATTTGTTTCTGAAGGGTGTTAAATAAATTACTACAGACTTGATGACATCAAACAACAGAAAATTCTTCTCTCAAATTTAAGAAGCTAAAATGTCAGAAATCCAGGCATCAGTAGGGTCATAGTATCTCCACAGGCTCTACAGAAAACCTCCTTCTTGCCTCTTACAGTTTCCAGAGACTCCTGACATGGCTAAATTTATGGCGGCACAACTCTAAACTTTGCCTCCAACTTTTATCTTGTGTCTTCTTTTTTTCTATGTTCTTCTTTTCTATTTCTTATATAAACACCAGTCATTAGATATAGTCTCACACTTATTCAGAATGATTACATCTAAAAATTCTTACCTTAATTATAATAGCAAAATTCCTGGTTTCAAGTAAGATCACATTCTGAAATTCTGGGCCAGACTCATCTTTTGAGGACCACTATTCAACCCCCTACAGTGTGCAAAATATAATTAAAAAATGGGTGCAACAGTACATTGACAGGGAATAGCCAGATTCAGACAAGGATATAGAAGGGGGATATCACTGACAACTTAAGATGGATCTTGGGTGAAAACAGAATACCAGAAACATGTTTACATGTGCTTTATTGACTATGCAAAGGCCTTCAGCTGTGTCAATAATGACAAGCTATGAGCAGCATTGTGAATAATTAGTATCCTGAACCACTTCACTGTGCTCATGAAGAACCTATATATAGACCAGGAGGCAGTCATTTGAACAAAATAAGGGGATACTGAAAGGTTCAAAATCATGAAAGTTGTGTGCTCTAGGGTTGTATTCTTCCACTGTATTTATTCTATCTGTATAGTGAGAAAACAACCCAAGAAACTAGATTATATGAAGAACATGACATCAGGATTGGAGAAAGACCCATTAATAACATGTGATCTGCAGATGATACAACCTTGCTTGCTGAAAATGAAGAGGACTTAAAATTAAAGACCTTGGTCTTCAATATGAATGGCACTACAATGTAAAGAAAACAAAAATCCTTACCACTGGCTAATAAATAACATCATGATAAATGAAAAGAAGTTGGAAGTTGTCAAAGACTTCATTTTGCCTAGATCCACCATCAACATTCATGGAAGCAGCAGACAAGAAATTAAGTGGCAAATTGAACTAAGCAAGTCTCCTGGACAAGACCTCTTTAAAGTGTTCAAAAGTAAAGATATCAGTTTGAGATCTAAGGTGCACCTGACGCAAACTATGGTATTGTCAACAGCCTCATATGCATGTGAAATTTGGACAATGAATAAACAAGACCTTAGAATAATTGGTGCATTTGAGTTATGGTGTTTGAGAAGAGTATTGAAAGTACCATGTACTGCCAGAAAAACAAACAAGTCTATGTTGGAAGAAGTACAGCCAGAATGCTTCTTAGAAGCCAGGGCAGTGAGACTCATCTCTCTCACTTCAGACATATTATCAAGAAGGACTAGTTCCTGGAAAAGGATATCATACTTGATAAAGCATGCCAGTGCAAAGAAGAAAGATCTCCCAATGAGATGGATTGGTACAGTGGCAGCAGCAATGGTCTCAAGCTTACCACTATTGTGAAGATGGCGCAGAACCGGGCATTTTTCATTCTGATGTGCATAAAGTCGCTATGAGTCTGTACTGACTTGATGGCACCTACCAACAGTAACATGCAAACTCTATAACTCAGTCAACCCAGTATCAGTTATGCCTCCAATTAACTCTCTTCTCAGGTACTAAATCAACCCAGCTTCAGCTAAATAAGAGAGAGTCAGAAGCTTTTGGTCCCTAGATTTAATTTTCTTTGAGTTCAGCTCAATCCTAGCACCTTATTGTTTGACTATTTGATCAATTACTATATTCCTGGTTTTTATTCATGTAATTCAGGCTGAGTTTGTCACTAGTAACTAAAATTGTAATAACTGGTAGCATAATCATGTTATTGTCCTTTCTTCGTTAGTCATACGGAGTCTTACTAATTATCACATCCTGGAAAAGGTATTGAGATACTCAACAAAAATAGATTTAGGTGTAAGACTATAGAATAATACATCATATGGGAACCCAAACAGACTAAAAAAGTAGTTTCAAAGCAAAATAAGAAGGCAAAATTAAGATAAAGTGGGTGAAACCCAGAGATGCTGCCTGTTGTTGTAAGTGCTGTCGAGTCGATTCCAACCCATAGCAACTCTGTATAGGGTTTCCAAGGAGCAGCTGGTGAGCTTGAACCACTGACCTTGCAGTTCAAATGACTTTGCAGTCTGACTCATTAGCCCACAGTGCCACACCAGGACTCCAGAGGTGCTGGTAAGTCATATTAAAATGCATTTCTTTCAAAATCTCTCTCTCCCACAGCACATAAACTCTCTCTCTCTTTCTTATACCTGTACACAAACACACATACACACCTTCAAAATAAGATTAAAATGAATCAGAGTTCAATAAATCAAAGCTACTCGAGTTTTATAAGAAGAAATTAATTTTTCCCACAGATAGATGATATAAATCCAAATGAAATTATTATTGTGTTTTACACTTATAGACTACATTCTGCTGTTCTTAGTTGTCACAGATACTGATACTACGGTTTTATGCATATGTGCATCTTTGTCCTAGACATAAGTAAAATATACACTTTCAGTTGCAGATACTTCTTTTTTTCTTCTGCGCTCTCATTTTTCAATTTCATTATTGGATAATGAAATAAAAGTTATTAATGTAAGATAAGCTCACAGTGTTTTCTTCTATTTGTTTTGTTTTTCCTCTCTTCTGATCTCTGAAAAACAATGTGCACATTTGATTAGTTTCATTTCCTGGTCACTGAGAAAAAAGAAACTAAATGTTCTTAGCGGACAGAAGTGAAGTAAAAAGAATATGTTAGGACATAGGCGATCCAAGACAATGCTAACCTTACAGCAATGTGAGCAATGAAGAAAAGATGATTTGAGTAACCAAGATAGTGGAATCAGGGCTGTAAAACTAGGAGTCTACGATTGTCTCAGTATTTGAGAATACAAGGCAACTGAAAAGGATAAGATATGTTAATTTGATTTCCCAAGAACAAAGTTGCCAACTATTTTAAGGGGTAACATGATCAAGAACCAGTGGTATTTAAGGCAGAAGTCCAAGCTGCACTGCCAGCATTGGCGAAAACTAGGTCCCAGGAATTTATGAAATACAAATTTCATTCAACAAACTGATGCAGTGATGAAGGTGCTGTCTTAGCTATACTAAGACAGCTATCTATTCAACCTATTGGAAGAGAACCATAACTGCGCCCATTCCAAAGAAAGGTGAGGCAATGGAATGTGGACATAATCAAACAATATCATTACTATCACATGCAAATAAAATTTTGTGAAAATAATTAAAAACTGATTGTAGCAGTACATTGACAGGGAGCTTCCAGAAACTCAAGCAGAATTCAGAAGAGGACATAGAACAAGGGATATCATTGCTGATTTCAGATGGATCTTGGCTAGAAGCAGAGAAAACCAGAAAGAGGTTTACTTGTGTTTTTAAGACTATACAAAGACACTCAACTGTATGAATAATAACAAATTATGGATAACATGGAAAGTAATGGGACTCCATAACATTAAATTGTGCTCATGAAGAATCTGTACAAAGACCTCTGAGAAACTGGATTATCTGAAGAAGAACATGGCATCAAGATTGGAGGAAGACTCATCAACAACCTGTGATATGCAGATTGCACACCCAATGTTCATATGTTAGGGATGATAGAGGTTCGCTTTAAAATCTCTTCTGGAAACAAGAGAAAACTGAAGAGAATTAAATCCTATAGGGAAATCTGCTGCACAAAAGCTCTCTGAAGTGTTCAAGAACAAAGATATCAGTTTGAGGAGTAAGGTACACCTGATTCAAGCCATGGTATTTTCAATACCCTCATATGCATGTTAAGGTTGGACAGTGAATAAGGCAGAGCATAGAGTGATGTATTTGAGTTATAATGCTGGTAAAAAGATTGAAAGTACCATGGACTGCTAGAAGTACAAATTTATCTGTGTTGGGAGAAATACTGCCAGAACACTCCTTGGAAGCCAGGATGGTGAAACTTTGTCTCTCATACTTCATACATAGTATCAGGAATGAACATTTCCTGGACAAGGACAATATACTTGCTAAAGTGAGAGTCAACAAAAAAGAAGACCCCCAATAAGATGGATTGACACAATGGCAACAACAATCGGCTCATGCATAACAACAATTGTGAGGATGGCATAGAACTGGAAAGTGTTTTGTTCTGTTGAGCATAGGGTCATTATGAATCAGAAGCAACCATCTTGATGGCACCTTACCACAAGGGAACCCTGGTGTGGTACTACAGGTTAATGCACTGGGTTGCAAAGTTGGTTTGAGTCACAAGTTTGGCAGTTCAAGCTCACCAACTGCTCCTCAGAAGCCCTATACAAGGACACTATGTGTCAGAACTGACTTGACGACACTTAACAACAATAACAGCAAGTATATACTCTAGAGAATAGAAAATGTGAGGGCACAAACCCCAATCTACCAATGAGTTGAAGTATAAGACAACACAAAGCAATGACTCACAGAAACAGGAAACTGCCAGGCACCCAAGAGATCCAGGCAGGAAGTAACCAAATGACTGTCACCTCCAAGGTTCTACACCATCAAATGTACCTACCTGTTTCCTCAGGAGGCAAATCTTCTAAGAAGGCATCTGCAGCTAACAGTATGTGCTTCAGAGCAGAGAGGATCAGAAAATCCTTTGCAATGTCCAGCTCCCACTCTTCAGTATAATTACTAACCACAAATATGTCAGAAAGAGGAAATCCAAGTTCTCTGTGAACTGCCTCTAGCTGCAATACAGAGATTAACATCAATAAATATTTAAACTATGAAAAATACTATTTTATGCAAATGTAATGATGAGAGCCATAAAAATTGTAATGTTATGGTAGTTTATATAAAAATGGAATTATATAGAAATGAAGTTATTTTAAGAAAATTGCACTAGAGTTCAGAGTTTTCCTCAGCTTTCTTTTAAAAGTTTTTCTTAGAATTAATGGCTTGCACTAGACAAGCTTAAGGTTTAAAAAACAAAACAACAAGAATAAAAAACCCAGTTATAGTTGAGTTGATTGTAACAAGTGATGAGCCCATATGTGTCAGACGAGAACTGTCTTCCATAGGGCTTTAAATAGTTGGTTTTTAGAAGTAGATTGTTTACCTTTTGAGGCACTTCTTGGTGGACTTTAACCTTTATGGACTTTAACTTTATCCAGCATGCTAGATAGCACTCAATCATGTTAAATGTTTACACCACCCAGGGACTCCATCCTTACTTAAACAAATTTATCTCTGAAGCCAGATTGCCTGGGTTCAAAACATTGGCTCTGTCACTTTTTAGCTGTATAAGTATTGACAATGACTTAAACTATGTGTGTTTTTCTCTACTTATCTGCAAAATGTAGTAGTAGAAGCCCTCATCTCACAGAGTTCTTATAACGATTAAATAAAATGATCTAGTGCTCAAGAAATATTAACTATAATTACATTCTCCTGTTTGTTGCATGGACTCTTGATGTGGCACTGTAGGATCAGCACTGGACTGTGAGCCACAAGGTCAGCAGTTCAAACCTACCAGCTGCTCCTTGGAAGCCCTATACAGGGCCACTATGAGTCAGAACCAACTCAACAGCACCTATCAACAACAGCAACATCTGCTGTATAGGACTCCTGGTGGGATGCTGTAGGATCAGCACTGGACTGGGAACCACAACATTAATAGTTCAAACCCATTCCTCAGAAGCCATATACACTCAGCGGCCCTTAACATCACTTAACAACAGCATCATACATAGCAATGTGTGGCACTGTAGGATAGCTTTAGACTGGTAACCATAAGGTTGGTGGTTCAAACCCACCAGCCACTCCTTGGAAACTCTATACAGGTCCACTATTCATTGGAACCAATTCCATGGCATTTATCAACAATATCTGTTGTATGAAGTCCTAGTGTGGTGCTGTAGGACAAGAACTGAACTGCTAACCACAGATTCATGGGTTCAAATCCCCTACCAGCCATTCCTTGGAAACACTATACAGGGTGGCTATGAGTTGGAACTGACTCAAAGACACTTAACAACAACATAACCTGTTATATGCCTCCTCTGGATTCCTTTTAAGGCCAATCTATGTGCACACTAGTGGCAGATTAATATTTATGAAGCTTAATTTTGACCACATCATATCTCTTTCAAAAAAAAAATCCTATGATTCCCATAATGCACCTAATTAAGCAAAGTCTTCTGCAAATGTTTCTTTGTTGTCATTTTGTCACCCCTTACAAGGGCCCAGTCCCTCATAAAGCAAAACGATTTTCTTAAGAAATTCTTCCTAAAAGCCATTTCTTAGTACTACCCAGCAATGAAATATTTGCTCATTCCCATTAACACAATATTTTCCTCCTCTAGATTTTTAAAACATTGTTGTTTTTGTTGTTAGGTGCCATCGAGTTGGTACTGACTCATAGCGACCTTATGTGCCCAGCAGAACAAAACACTGCCCTATCCTAGGCCAACCTCACTACTGTTGCCACGCTTGAGTCCATCAATGCTGCCACTTAGCCAATCCATCTTATTGGGGGTTTCCTCTTTTTCTCTGACCCTCCACTTTCCCAAACCTGATATCCTTCTCCAGTGACTACTCCCTCCTGAAAATATGTCCGAAGTTTGAGGGACGAAGTTTGGCCATCTTGGTCTCTAAGGAGCACTGTAGCTGCACTTCTTCCAAAATGGATCTGTTGGTTCTTTTGGTAGCCCATGGCACTTTCAATATTCTCCTCCAACACCACAACTCAAAGGCATCAATTCTTCTATGGTCTTCCTTATTCACTTTCCAGCTTTCACATGCATATGAGGTTATTGAAAATACTATTGCTTAGGTCAGGTGCATATTAGTCCTCAAGCTGACATCTTTGCTCTTCAACACTTTAAAATGGTCTTGTGCAGCAGATTTGCCTAATGCAATACATCGTTTCATTTCTTGACTGCTGTTTCCATCAGTGTTGATAGTTGCAGTGACTATATAAGGTAAATATTGTTCTGTGAGCTCTAAGATTGGTCTTTCAAGCCCACCAGCTGCTCCTCGGGAGAAAGATGAATCATTTTGCTACCACAAAGATTTATAACCTCAGAAACTCTATTCAGGGTTGCTATGAGTCAGAGCCAACTCCACAGCACTTGACAAAAATAACAAAAACTTTTAAAAGCACTCTATTTTGGGCTACTTCATAATATTTAACAACAACAACAACATAATATTTAGCATACTCAATCATATCATATACATTTGTCAAATTTTTCTTAGTCCATTCCTCCATCACCTCACTCTCACCTATATAATTGAAAGTGTTTGAGTGTAAGAATTACTTTATGTATCCATATATCTAACTAAAGAGTATCACACAATAGCTACCAATGTTGAAGGTAATTAATAATTCTGTATTGTATTGAACTAAGTTGACTTAAATTTTAATGAACTGAGTTATCTGGGTCAGTATAAGATGAATATATATTCATTTTTAATTTTTGAGAATAAGCTTTAATTACCCATGTAACTGGGTTAATTATTCTTAAAATCTGTATATAGGTGTCTATTTTAATATTAATACACAATATACAAAATGATTATGATGATATATCCAAATAAATATTGTTTCATTACCTTGAGCTTCACAGGCATACATCTGTATGGGTCTATAAGGTCAGCTTTAGTAATCTGATCCAGAGCATCCACTGGAGTGAGCAAAACCACATGTAACAAACCTATGTCAAACAGATAGATGGGTTTTAGACAGCATCAGTATTCCTCCACTAATTAATTACCAAATATGTAATTGAACAGCACCAAGCCAGATTTTGTCCTGGTGTGGTGCTGTAGGATAAACACTGTACTTCTAAACACAAGATTGGCAGTTCAAACCCAGCAGCGGCTCCTTGGAAACCTTATACAGGGTGGCTCTGAGTCAGAACTGTCTTGATGGCACTTAACAAATAACAGCACATATAAGGTTGCCACGAATCATAGGTAACTCAATGGCAACAACGAATGATAATTTAATAGGCTATCTATGAAGTAATTTCAAATATTTGGGAGTCTGAACCAATTCAACAGCATTAACAATGACTTCTACCCCCTAAACAAACAAACAAACAAACAAAAAAACAGAACTGATTCCTTAAATTCCTTTGACATGGAAAGGCTCTTCATCGCCTTACATTTAAAAAATGAACCTTCAAATGAAAGAGTATCTGGGAAGAGTTTGCAAACATTTTTGCCACACTATTGCTCTTTGAATAAACAAAGTTCTTATCAATGGAAAAAAGATTGAAGTTGTCAAGGACTTCATCCTTCTTGGATCAACAATCAAGACTCATGGAAACAGTAGTCAAGAAATCAAACGACATATTGCATTAGGTAAATCTGCTGCACAAGACCGTTTTAAAGTGTTGAAGAGCAAAGATGTCAGCTTGAGGACTAAGGTGTGCCTGACCCAAGGCATGTTGTTTTTCAATAACCTCATATGCATGCAAAAGCTGGATAGTGAATAAGGAAGACTGTAGAAGAATTGATGCTTTTGAATTATGGTGTTGGAGGAGAGTATGGAAAATGTCATGGGCCGCCAAAAGAACCAACAGACGTGTGTCGGAAGAAGTGCAGCCAGAGTGCTCCATGGAGGCCAGGAAGGCCAAATTTCGTCTCTTGTACTTTGGACATATTTTCAGGAGGGACCAGTTCCTGGAGAAGGCTATCAGGTTTGGTAGGGTGGAGAGTCAGAGAAAAGAGGAAGACCCCCAATGAGATGGATTGGCCAAGTGGCAGCATCAATGGGCTCAAGTGTGACAACAATTGTGATGTTGGCCCAGATCTGGGCAGTGTTTTGTTCTGCTGTGCATAGGTTGCTATGAGTTGGTACCGACTCGATGGCACCTAACAACAACAAAATTGCTCTTTGAGTAGTCATGGTGTAGTGCTGTAGGATAAGCATATGACTGCAAGGTCAGTGTGAACCATAAGATCAGCGGTACAAACTCACTACTTGCTCCTTGGAAACTATACTAGGTCGCTATGGATCAGACTGACTCAACTGCAATTAGCAGCAACAGTTGCTGTTTGAAGGAATCCTGGTAGTATAGTTGGTTGCATGTTGGTCTGCTAGCTGAAAAGTCAGCAGTTTGAGTCTACCAGGTCTCCACAAGAAATAAATGAAGCTTTCTGCTCCGGTAAAGATTTGTGATGGTGAAGAATGCCCATACTTGTAGATAGTACCCATTCGGCCTAGCCTCAATGGCTTGATTATCAGAACTAGACCAGAGGAAGATATAATAAAAAATTTTTAAAAATTAATTGATAAAGGAAACAAGTGTAAATTGTTACAATTTGATGAACTTGTCCTATACTTATGGATGTTGTAGGTCAAAATACCAACTGAGAGGGAAGGAGTCTTTATACCAAGTATCAATCCTATTCCCTCTGTATACAGGGTTGATAGGACGAGGCAACTTAAACATCGGCTACCTTAAATGGAGGGAGGGGGCTATAAATACATGAAGTGACTGGATTACAAGTTTTCAAGAGGGAATTTAGATTCCGAGTGTGCTGAGGAAGGTAGAAACCCCACTGAATAGTTTTCATCTTGTGTAGACATGTCTGTTGCAAAGAGATGGAGATAATATTCCTATGATTCAATAGTGAATTGTTATCATGACTAATTGTGAGTGTCATAACTGTAAAAGCAGAGGTTTTATAACAAAAAGGGGGAATACTTAATCTTACATTCCAGGAACAGAGGACCCTAAGACCATCAAGGGAGAAGACCATGAGGGAAACTGGAACCATACCCAGAGAAACAATGACAACATAGATGGAGCCAGAGATGAGGGCATGGGGAGATAGAGCAACTGAGGATTCTACACTTATGAAAAGAGAAAGGCTGTGTGCCGGTGGCCAGGAGGCAGGTTTGCAGAATATGCCCTTTGGTTATTTAAATTATTATATATATTCATGAGTGTTTTTGTGTCCACCTTCCCCAACTCCCCCACCTCCAAAAAAATCCAGAGGGAATAGAAGCAAATACTGGAGGAGATTGTAATCATTGCAATGAAATGATGAGTGTAAAACTGATGTACTCTCATGTAAATTATCATTCAATTCACAATAAAAACTTTTTTTAAAATGGCACATAAATCAGAGTCTTTAGTCACAAAGTAAATGGAAATTAAAATCACTGTGTGATCGCATTGCATATCCATTAGAAGAGCAAAAATAAAGTTAGACAAGTGTTGATGATACAAAGCAACTAATACATTGCTAATGGATATGCAAAATAGTACAGCTACTATGGGGAATTGTTACAAAAGTAAGTATACTCCTACAATACAAATCAACTGTCTTATTTCCAGGTTATTTACCCAAGATAAATGAAAGCATAAGTTCACACAGTAACTTTTAAACAAATGTTCATGTTGTTGTTATTAGGTGCCATAGAGTCACTACCAACTCATAATGACCCTATGTACAACAGAATGAAGCACTGCTCAGTCCTGGGCCAACCTCACAGTTGTTACCATAAATGAGCCCATTAATGCTGCTACTTTGCCAATCCATCACACTGGGGTGGGGGTGGGGGTCTTCCTCCTTTTCTCCACCTTACCAAACATGATATCCTTCTCCAGGGAGAGGTCCCTCCTGACAATATTTCCAAAGTATGAGAGACAAAATTTGGCCATCTTGGCCTCCAAGGAACACTCAGGCTGCACTTCTTCCAACACAGATCTGTTGGTTCTTTTGGCAGCCCATGGCACTTTCAATATTCTCCTCCACCACCATAACTCAAAAAGCATCAATTCTTCTACAGTCTTCCTTATTCACTGCCCAGCGTTCGCGTGCATATGAGGTTATTGAAAACACCATGGCTTGGGTCAGGCGCACCTTAGTCCTCAAGATGACATCTTTGCTCTTCAACACTTTAAAACGGTCTTGTGCAGCAGATTTGCCTATTGTAACACTTCATTTGATTTCTTGACTGCTGTTTCCATGAGTGTTGAAGAATGAAGTCCTTGACAACTTCAATCTTTTCTCCATTGATAAGAATGTTGTTTATTGTCAAGGGGTGAGGATTTTAGCTTTCTTTACATTGAGAGGGAATCCATACCAATGGTTGTGGTCTTTGGTCTTCATCAGTGAATATTTTAAGTCCTCTTCACTTTCAGCAGGCAATGTTGTATCATCTGCATATCGCAGATTGTTAATGAGTCTTCCTCCAATCCTGATGACATGTTTTCCTTCATATAACCCAGGTTTTCAGATTATTTGCTCATAATTCAGGGTGAAAGAATACAACCCTGTTGCACACTTTTCTTAATTTTAAACCATTCAATGTTCCCATATTCTCTTTGAACAACTGCATCTCGGTCTATGAACAGATTCCTCATGAGCACAATTAAGTGTTAGGGAATACTCATACTGTGTACTGTTGTCCATAGTATTTCATGATCCACACAACTAAAAGCCTTTGTGTAGTCAATAAAGCACAGGTAAACATCTTTCTGGTATTTTCTACTTTCAGCCAAGATCTATGGGACGTCAGCATTGATATCCCTCATTCCACAGCCTCTTCTGAATTTGGCTTGAACCTCTGGAAGTTCTTTGTCAATGTATGCCTGTAACCATTTCTGTATTAACTTTAGTAAAACTTTACTCGTGGGATATCAAAGAGATTGTCCGATGATTTCCACATTCGGTTGGGTCACCTCTTTTTGGAATGGGCACAAATACAGATTTCTTCCAATCAGTCGGCCAGATAGTTGTCTTCCAAATTTCTTGGCATAGATGAGTGAGTGCCTCCAGTGCTACCTCACTTTGTTGAAAGATTTCAATTTTTATTCCATCAATTCCTGGAGCCTTGTTCTTTTCCAATTTCTTCAATGCATCTTGGATTTCTTCCTTTAGTATCAGCGGCTCTTGATCATATGCTACCTCTTGAAATGGTTAAACATTAACCATTTCCTTTTGGTATAGTGACTCTGTGTATTCTTCCCATCTTCTTTTGATTTCTGCAACATTCAATAATTTGTCCAGAGAATCCTTCAATGATGAAAGTCAAGGCTTGAATTTTTTCTTCAGTTCCCCCAGCTTGTGAAATGATAGGCGTATTCTTCCTTTTTTGGGTCTTTGCACATTTTCTTATAATATTTGACTTTATCATCTGGAGCTGACCTTTGAAATTTTCTGTTCATCTCTTTTTCCTCCTTACTTCTTCCATTTTCTTCGGTATCTCTATGCTGGAGAGCAAGTTTCAGTGTCTCTTCTGACATCCATTGTGATCTTTTCCTTCCTTCTTGTCTTCTTAATGACTTTTTGCTTTCTTCCTTTATGATGTTCTTGATGTCATTCCACAACTCTTTTAGTCTTCGGTCTTTAGTGTTTAATGTATCAAATCTGTTCTTCATGTAATCTCTAAATTCAGGTGGGATATATTCAAGATCATATTTTGGCTCTCGTGGACTTGTTTGTTTTCATTTTCTTCAGCTTCAGTTCGAATTTGCATATGAGATAACAGTCCAAAACTAGTACCAATCCAAATGTCCATAAATAGATGAAATGGACAACAGTTTGTGGTAAATTAACATCATAGACCACTATTTAAACACAACAAAAACACAGAAGATCTCAAAAATATCTTGCTGAGAGAAAAAGGCCAGATGAAAAGAATACATATTACATAATGATATTTATATGAAACTCTAGAAAAAAATCAAACTAATTTAATGTAAGAAAAAGAAAAATGATGAGTGGTGTCCTGAGTGGACTAATTTTAAAAGGGCAGAAGGAAATTTTTGAGAATGATGGAAATATTCTAGATCTTGATTGTGTTGGTGAAAGTATTTACTCTTGATTGGGTGGTGGTTGTATGTACATACATTAGTAAAAACTCAATGAACTCTACATTAAAAAGGGTATATATTTTATTATATTTTAATTATCGTTCTGTTGTGCATAAGGTCACTATGGGTCGGTACTGACTCGATGGCACATAACAGCAACAGCAATAACAACAACCACAGCAACAAAGATTTACAGCCTTCAAAGCCTTACACAGGATCATTATGAGTCAGAATTGCCTCCACGGCACACCACAGCACCACCACCACCATTAATGCTTGATTTCACATCCTACACAAATAATAGCGCTTTGATGGAGACGATAGAAAAAGCCAATGGGCTCTAATAAAAATGATGAGGGAAAAGAGGTTATCAAGAAGGATAGCATGTGCCAAAGCATCATAAATAACCTGCTCCAATTTGCAGAACTAGCAAGTGCCTACTACTGCAAGATTTTAAATTTCAGTGAACAGGTAAGTCAATGACTCTCTGTTTAGAAACTCCAATCAAAATTGTGATTAACTGGTTCTTTCCCAAATAAAATTAATAATAAAACCAAGAAAAGCTAAAATGAAAAACTTTAACTTCTATTTACACTCTCTAAAGCTTTAAGGCTAACTCTCCCTACCAAATATCTCATCTTTCTGCTTCATTTTCTTTAGTGAAATGTAGTTTTTGTCTTACTATTCTTTTAAGGAAAATTCTGGGACATATTTGATCAACAAATGTGTGATATGATTGAGGGATATCAGGTAGCTATATCTGAGCGAACTTTACCAAACTTTTCACATCTATTGATTTGTTGAACCCATAGAATAAATCTCTGGAGTAGATACTATTATTAAACTAATTATGCATATTAGGAATTAAGGTACAGAGAGTTTAAGTTACTTGTGTAAGGTCATACAGTTAATGAGTTCTCAAATTGAATTAATGCTGGTGGGCCAGGAAAGACTCAATGGAAAATGTAAGTTCCTTGCCCCACTCAAAACCATTATACAACACAGATTAATTAAACTTTAGTAGCAAAGTGGAATGAAACTCACCACACTTTATTAACATCCTTCTAATTCTTTTGATATTTATCATGATCTCATGAGAGAGCTTTTCAACAGAGTTGATATCCAACACAAATGCCACACAATGAATTCTATCCTTCAGCAATGGGGAGTCAATGTAATTTAGATGGCTTGGTGTGATTGACTTTATGGAATTAAACTGAAAAGTAAACATAAAGTAACAAATTAACAAAAAATATTATGAGCACGAACTGAATAACCAGCCATTCTATAACTAAACATAATAATGAAGATACAGACAGATCTCTAATTTCAAGAGGTTTGCAATGGTAGTAAAGATAGCCATTAAAAAGCAGATACATTAGGTAGAACTTTAATATTATTAATCTCTAAATATTGCTCAAGTTCATAGCAAAAAAAAATTTGAAAATTGAGTAAAGGACATGAATATGTAATTTTCAGAAGATACAAATGGTCAATACATATACAAAATGTACTATAGCTCATTAATACCCACAGAAATGTAAATTATCATGGTGATATTGATTATCACCTATTATTTTAACAAATACACCAAGAATATTTTTTAGCCACTGTTGGAGAGAGAATGGGAAAAATGTTCACTCTTTCTTTCACTTCATGTGACAATCTAAATTAACTTAACCTCTTTGAAGATGTGGTTGCTTCTCCCTATTTGTTATGGGCTACCAGCAAAGGAAAATCACTGGACCAAAATGTCCCTTTGAACTTCAAGGCTGGTAGTTCAAACCCATTAGCCACCCCTCAGAAACTTTTACAGGGTTTCTATAAGTCAGAACTGACTCTGGTTTCAACTCATAACATTCTGGTTGTTCTTCCAACAGACCTGTTTGCTCTTCTGGAAGTCCATGGTACTTCAATATTCTTCTCCAACACCATAACTAAAATGCATTATTCTTGGTTTGCCTTTCTTATTCATTGCCCAACTTTTGCATGCATATGAAGCTATTGAAAATACCATGGCTTGGGTCAGCCACATCTTAGTTCTCAAACTGATTCTTTGCTCTTGAGTATTCATCCCTTGATTTCCTGACTGCTACTTCCATGAGTTTTGATGGTGGATCCAAGCAAAATAAAGTCTTTGACAATTTCAGTCTTTTCTCCATTTATCAAGATGTTATTTATTGGCCTAGTGGTGAGGATTTTTGTTTTTTAACATTGAGATATAACCAAACCAAAGGTTGTGGTTTTTAATTTTCATGAATATTTTAAGTCCTCTTCGCTTTCAGCAAGCAAAGTTGTATCATCTGAATATCACAGGTTATGATATATGTTAATGAGTCTTATCCAATCCTGATGTCATGTTTTTCATCATATAATTCACCATCTCAGATATTTGCTCAGTATACAGATTGAATACATATGGTGAAAGAATATAACTATGGCTCAAACCTTTCTGTATTTAAACCATATGCTGTCCCCTTGTTCTGTTCAAATTACTACCTCTTGGTCTATGTACAGGCTCTTCATGGGCACACTCATTCTGTGTGTCATGATCCATACAGTCAAAATCCTTTGCATAATTAATAAAACACAGATAAATATTTTTCTGTTATTTGCTGCTTTCAGTCATGATCCATCTAACATCAGCAATGACTCCCTTGTTCCTCATCCTCTTCTAAATCAGGCTTGAATATCTGGCAGTTCCTTATCAATGTAGTTTTGAATTATCCTTAACATAATTTCACTTGCATATGATATTGATGATATTGTCTAAAGACTTCTGCATTCTGTTGGATCACTCCTCTTTGGAATGGGCACAAAAATTTTGATCTCTTCCAATTTGTTGGCCAGGTACCTGTCTTCTAAATTTCTTGTTATAGATGAGTAGTGCCTCCTGTACTACATCAGTTTGTTGAAAGATTTCAAATTTATTCCATCAATTCATGGAGCCTTGTTCTTCGCCAATGTCTTTAGTGTACCTTGAAGTTCTTCTTTTAGTACCAATGCTCTTGATCATATGCTACGTCTTGAAATAGTTGATCACTGACCATTTCTTTTTGGTACAGTGACTATGTATTCCTTCCAATTTCTTTTGGAGCTTTCTACATCATTCAATATTTTGTCCATATAATCCTTTACTAGTGAAAGTCAATGCTTGAATTTTTTCCTGTTGATTACTACAATTTCCTTTAGGGCAAAAAAAAAAAAAAAATCTCTGAGTGCCACTATAACTTCAGAGCTGAACAAGTACAAAGTGTTTATTTACAAACATTGTATATTTTTAATTATAAATATCCTAAAGAATCTGTGACAGGTATTACTTAGATTCATATTCCCCATCCATGTTTGGAAATAAAACAAAATTCACCAAATAAAAAAAAGTTCACTTTCTAAAACTTCCTTGAAGCTAGAGTAGCCATGTGACTCATTATGGATAATTAAAAAATAATAAATGGGACTTCTTAGAATGTTAGAAAACCAGTTTTCCCTGGATTAAAAAAAAGAAGAAGAAGATTAATGTGACTTTTTTATCTCATCTTTCCTATTTCTTGGAACACTGACATTGCTCAGAGTAAATGTCTTCAGAGCAGAATGATAAAGACTCCATACTGAGGATCTCAGAAGAGAAAGTCAGGATGATCCCTAACCTTAAGTGATCTCAGGGAACGTCCATGCTAGCCCTAACAGCCCACCTCAGAACTTCCTGGTACATGGAAAAATCACCTATTTAGTTATACTGATGTTGTGGTATTTCTGTTTCACATAGGAAAAATTAATTAACATGTTATAAAGTATGGTATCAAATCTGTTCTTCAGATGATCTCTAAATTCAGGTGGGATATATTCAAGGTCATATTTTGGCTCTCATGAACTTGTTTTGTTGTCTTCAGCTTCAGTTTGAATTTTCATATGAGCAATTGATGGTCTGTTCCAGAATCTGCCCCTGGCCTTGCTTTGACTAATGATATTGACTTTTCCATCATCTCTTCCCATAGATGTTTAATTTGATTTCTGTGTATTCCATCTGGCTAGGTCCATGTGTATAATCATATCTTTCACTGTCTAAAGAAGATATTTTAAATGAACATATCATTGATTTTGGCAGAATTCTATCATGCAATCTCCAGCATCATTTCTATCATGAAGGCCACCTGAATTTAGAGATCATCTGAGAACAGATTTGATACATTAAACACTAAAGACCAAAGACCAGAAGAGTTGTGGGATGACATCAAGAACATCATAAAGGAAGAAAGCAAAAAGTCATTA